TGGTTTGCTTTTTCTCCCGAAATTGTGTTGGTAATGATTTATTGGTCACAGGACTTTGAGTCGTCCAATTTTGTCTGTAATAATACTCGTGATTGACAAATCAGACTCCTGCTTTGCGGTAGTCACACATTTGATTACAAACCAAATTAGACTCCACTCTGTCCAATTAACATTATTAATTAATAAAAAATTAAGCCTTATTCGACTTCATTCATACCCTTGGGTAATTTCAAACGCTGTAGGCTGTAGTATTTATCTTTTATATACTTTTTAGATCGCTAGGACAAACATTTATGATATATGATTTCTGTCGCACGCCTTTCCCTGAGGGAAACATAGTTTTACCTTGTGGATAAATAATACAGTTTGAAGGGAACTCCACATACCTTCTTTATGATGATCATGTCTCGCAAGAACAGTTAGCAGCTCCAGTTCTGACACTTTGCTGATGGCGAGCGAAGCAGGCGTGCTCATCAAAAGATCGATCAGTGGTAACAAAATGTAACCTTGGACCTGTTCATTTGAATAGTAACCTAGAGAAGGAAACACATGGGTAATCCATATTTTATTCAAAAGGTAGAAGGTGAGAAGTAGTAAAACTAACTGAGCCTACCGGCCTAAAATTTTTTGGCTTACAAGAACTGAAGCGAGTTTCGCGAGACGAGAAATCTTCGGAGATGCTCGGAGCTAGTTCTGGAAAGCTCGTCAAGTTTTCAAAATCTTCGACAGTCCCGGAGCATCTCGCGAGAGAGAATAATGCACAACAAAATTTTTGTGGCCAATGGTAAGTCCTACTGATCCCAATGCAGTTTTCAAGCCGTCCGATGACAAGGACTCTAACACTCTGGCTTTTACACGTCACAAGCGACGAAATCACACGTGGCATTTGTCTTCTGCTTCCGATTTGGTAGGTTTAATTCCAACCAGATCGTATCGCCAACGTTTGGGAAAACTAGCCTTTGTTTGTGTTTCATCACGATGAACAACCACAACCTCTTTGAACCTTTGATTCTTAAGAGTGATTGGCGTCTAACTTCTCCCTATATTATTACCGCTGAATCACGCATTAAGGTGACGAGAATGAAGGGAATGATCACCAACTACAGAAGCTCTTGATTTTTGAACAAATTCTCCCTGTTAGCACTTAAGGAAATTAATAGAGCACAGTACGGAGAATATGCTTTTTATAATTTTAAATTCTTACCTAAACTTAGCGTCGTGGACAGCTCAACAACATCAAAGCCTCGTTGAAGAGAAATCTGTACTGCTCCGTCTCTTCTTTTGTATCCACAAAATGTCCAAAGTTCGCCAGTCTTGAAATTATAATCTTCGATACCAATGTCTTTTAGACTCAACCTTGCCTTGTCTGAAAACGAGTGTAAAAACAACAACAAAAACAACTTTGAAAAACTTAGGTAGTCTTTATAAATTCATCCCGAGCTGGCATCTCGCTATGAGAGTCCGCGACCCGAAGATACGGAAAAATGAATTTTCCTGAACTAAAGAGCAATTATAAGATAATTTGATGTTATCAAATGTGTTAATAATATAAATTGGCCACCGTAAAGATTTTCTAAGCTGACGTTTTACGCGTTCGCCCTTTACCGGAGCAAATTTCGCCTTTCGCTCTTACGAAGGGCTAACGCTCGAAATATCGGCTTAGAGACCAATTAACTCAGTTAATAACACCAAATTATCTTGATATGATTCCCCATCAATGCAGCACCACAGTTTCTTTAGAAACATACTCTTTTTATTAAAAAGTAATTTGCTTACCAGTCATATAATAGTCTGCCTCTCCTCGCACCGCTATGAAAACCAGTGTACCTATTGGTATCATATCAACAAACTCCACAAGGTGATCGCTGGCTTCCTTGTCGTGCCCAGTATCGAATGCTGCAGCCTCGGTGACGTTGAATGTCGTGAAGTCCATCACCACAATATTGATACCAGGTTTATTAGGACAATGTTCTTTGCCGTTGATTAAAATACTAACACGGTCGCCGCTTTTGTACCCAAGCGACTTGATGCACACTGGGATTTCTGTGTCTAAGAGAAGACATAATAAAACATAATTTTTATAGTGATCCGCACAGAATGAATATCAGCAGAGCTCGCAGCGCGCGCAACGTAGCCCCAAAACAAGCCGAGAAAATTTGGCTTATCGTGACACTATTCGGCTGACCGTGTCTACAATAGGCTACTTTTACCTTTCTACATCAAACAACGGAGCTAATTATTCACCAATCTGATTAAGTATTTTATTCTTCTATAAGACGCTGATTTTAGCAGTATTTAACCCATTAGCTCCCAAGATCTCATTCGAAATTCTCCTCACTGTCAGCCATACAGTTATTGTGATGTTAGTTTTAAGAATTTGGTATTGGATCAACCTATAATCCCCTAATTGATATTTGTCTTAGTTCTCATCACTTATCTGGTCGATATTGTATTGATATTTTAAGGAGAAATTCTGTCTTGGTCACCCATGGGAGTTAAATGGTTAAAAGATTACAAATTGGTTTCATGTTGCTGTACATCTGTTCAGTTATAGATCACATGTGGTAAGAGCCAAAAAAAAAGGTGCAGGTGGCCCAACCTCAAATCAAGACACTAGAAACCAACACCAGAAACTAGCATCCAAAATCCGACACTAGAGTCTAAAATCGGACATCCATGTCTAAAATCGAACCCTGGTGTCTATAATTGGATATTAGTGACAAAAATTGGACCCTTGTGTCTAAAATCGGATACTAAAGTCTAAAATCGGACACTAGTGTCTAAAATCAGATAGTTGCTTCTAAAATTAGACACCTGTGTCCAGTATGAGACACTAAAGTCGAAAACCAGACTTAAGGGTCAAAACTTGGACACTGGTTTCTTAAATTGGATAGTAGCTTCTAAAATTGAACACTAGTATTTGAAATCTTACTCTAGTGTCCAAAATTGGACACCAGTGTCAAAAACCAGACATCAGTGTCTAAAATCAAACACTAAGGTCTAAATACAGACAATGGTGACCTAAATCGGACACAAGTATCCAAAATCGGACACTGTTGCCTAAAATCAGCCACTATGGTCTAAAATCAGACACCATTAGACAGTAGTCTCTATTTAGACAGTAGTGTTAATTCATTTGCATTTATCGTTGACACTAGAATGCATGAAAACACTGATGAAAAGACAGTGAGTGAAGAATTTTTTCCATCAACATTTTCAAAAACCTGTTTTATTTTCCACAAAAAGAAAAGGAGCATTTTGAAAACCCTGTTATTTCAATATAAGTATTTTTTGAAGCTGTTTTGGAAAGTCTTCATTTCCCACAGCATTTTCTGTCATTTTAGTATAAATGATGGAGAAAAACACTTGAAGAATTTTGTATTTACAAATCATATGTGCAGTCAGGCTTTAGTCCTGGATATTGCTTGGAACACAAACATCGAAAGTGTCATATGGGTAAATAAATTTAAAAAAATTATTTCTGTTGCAAATTTATGCCTCAAGATTTTTTCTACTTTCAAATATGACCAAAATGATCACAGTATGGAGTACTATTCATGTAATTAGTCATTTATAATCCAATCCATTCCACTCACCAAGAAATCCCAACATGACAAGAGTTTTGGCTGCATGAGCAGAACACTGCGGGTGATCACTGTCTCCAATGGCTAACTCCATTAGAGACTTTAATCCTCCCAGCATAATGATTTCTTTCTTGACGCCGTCAGATGTCATGGCCATGTTCAACAGTAGAGCTGATGCCCAGAATTGCAGTTCAGTATCTGTTGACTCTGAGTAAGCCAGCACAGCTTTCAGGCAGCCATCTTCAAGAACTCTGCTTTGTAAATTTTCTGGATAGTAATGATATGACAATGATAAATGAGTATTTAACATTTTAAAACCTAAAAACTAATCATGTGAGACTTCAAGCAAAACTTACCAATAGTGCAAAAGAGACCAAGGAGTTCTGCTACCATACGAATCAAGATGTTATCTTGCCTGCAGGCCAGCGGGACCAGAGCCTTGATCACATCAGTAGCCATGGACAGCACTCTCAGAGCTGCAGCACGATTTGCAGCTGGATTCCCTACAAGCAAAAGACAATCATTGTGTCAAACGATTGATCTTTGTACATAGAATAAAAGAGATGGTACATTTATGTTTTTGAGCTGGGTAAAGATAAGAGAAAGATGTTTTTCATCTTGTCACAAGCATGAAACAAAGAAAAAAATTGTGAGTCCTCATGAGGAATTGAACCTCAGACCTTCAGATTCGGCACTCTGATGCTCTGACACTGAGCCATAGAGACTCTACAGTGTGCCAGAAGGTTATATATGGCACGTGTCCTGCATACTGCTAGGATCAGTGATGTTGATAGCATCATGTTTGTAAATAGAATAAGGAAGATGGTAAGTTTTTGAACTCAGTAAAGAAATAGAGAAAGATGTTTTTCGTGTGACAAAGAAAAAGTCTAAGTTTCCTTAAAGAATCCAACCTCAGCACAACCCCTGAAACTCCCTTCCAGGGAGGAGAGTAGTGACTCTGATTCAAGTGGAAAATATTTCCCAAAACAGAATTCAAAACAATTTCTTTATGAAAACAAGGAAGTGGCAAAGATTCATGAAAATATTGGTAAAAATAGGCTTGGAGGTGAATTATTTTTAAGTGGGTGACATACAGTAATTGTACACAAAAGCAATCCAAAGTCCCCTAATGCTGTAAATAAATAGCAGGTAATAGGACTGAGTGGAATCAAATTCAGTCCATAATCATAAAAGTGATGTCTGATTTGTCAATTACGAGTAAAATTACATACTGAAAAAACTGGATGACATGAAGTCCTCTTACAAAGTAATCATAACTGTCACAATTTCCAAAAGATAAAAAAATAATTATCCAGTAGAGACAATGCCTAAAGTAAAAAAACTCCTCAATTCTGGAAATTTCTTAGAACAAGTGGTCATTGCAATGGTTCTTGTGGTCAATTCTGTGATTGGTGGATTTAGCTGAGTGGACTTAGTATGATTGGCTGTTTTAACTGTCCAAATACAGGTGTTTGATTACAACAACTGACTGATTACACTTTCTGATTACAACTGTACAGAATGATAAGTAAAAAATAAAGCACTAATGCATCAATCACATTTTAGGAAATTGTAATTGACTCATTATTAATAAAGAATGTAACAAGGCCACATATCACCAGAAAAAAAAATTTTAAAAAAACTAAAAAATTAAAAAATTATATTAAGAAAGAGTTCCTATATAGCACTGACCTTCAGACAGAACCAAGTCATGAAGCAGAACCACTGACCAGTGGACAATGTCTGTGTCACCCGATGCAAGACACACTGGTAGCCGTGCCACAAGAGAGGAGCAGTGAAGCACACTGTTCCTGAAGGATTTGCTTCCAACGCACAAGAAACTGAGAAGACGCAGAATTAGTCTCTGTAAAGTTGCTTCACTTGAGCATAAAACATTCTGCAAAGATTTGACAATGTTTGGAGTGGCACAGATTTCTGCTTTGTAAAGGTCTTGAATAGCAAACTGATGCAAAAGTCCAGCTGCCCAGTAAACAAGGTCACCATCATCTATGCAAAAATTTTAATTGATTCAAGAGAAATAAGGCCACTAATGGTCAACCTTTTAATTGCCAAACTATTAATGTCACCTGTCCTTTCTGTATACATTATAATTCCTATAGTTTTAGCTTTAGAATTTTTTTTTTTCAAACAATATCCCCTAGTTCAGATTTCTATCACTTCATATAAGGGCTTTTCATTAACCAATGTACTAGCTGGAGAAAAGTGAAATGAAAAAGGATGGAAATTCCTGGGGAGGAAATAGCTCACCCCATCAAAATTTAGCAAGAGAATTACGAGTAATTGGCCAGAAAAATGTATGATTTCTGATACCTGACAAACAACTGGCATCAACTTATAAATGCATCAGTATCACTGAGGATAATTTTTCCAACAGTCAACACCTTAACCTTTTTGATCATTTCTTTTATTCTCATTACCTTAATGTTTCAATCAAGAGTAAAACTGTAAGGAGAAATTAGGTATGATTTTCTTTTAATGTATTTTTGATATAGATTCTTATATCTCAGTGATCTGGAAGAAAAGTTTAATTCCCAATCCAGCCCAACTCATGTGTAGTTTTCCCTGTATTTAAATATTGCCTAATACTTGTAAGTACAGGTCTTAAGTGCAATTTCATCGGTCTGTATATAGAGAAATCATAGTTTACATGTACCTGCTCTGAGGGACACTACCGCCGTCCTAAAGACATCATATTTAGCCATCTCCTTGAGATGTGCAATCTCACTTTCCGTAGTGTTGTTCACAAACATCACCATGGTGTGCAGACATGTTTTCATGAGTATAAAGTCTCCTTGGTTTCTCACAAGCATCGCCGAGACAGCTGGTATAACACCGTTGGCTAACAGTTCAGGTCGCAACGAGTCACAGGACGCCAGCTGATGAACAATGAACAAACTCCATCGCATAACCTCTTTACTTCTCCCCTCCGAAATCAACTGTAAAACAACAGCAAAAATGGACGAATTTGACTGAGCCAGACGAAGTTTAGTCGCCTCTTCATCGTAAATTAAATGAAATAACGATTCCGACGCACATCTTTGCAAACGCAAGTCATAGCCTCCCATCTCGACTAGCCTTCTATAGCCAACTTGCACCGACTGAACGAGGGAGTGAGAGAGCGATTCAAGTACTTTGTGCTCAATCAATTTTTCTCTCTCGTTGCGTTCCGAGTTCTTTACCAGCATAGCCAGAGCAACAACTGCCTTCAAAACTTGAAATTCGTCATCACTGAAGCAGGCATTCACGATAAAATCTAAATTTTTGTTCTTCATTGCTTTATCCAGCACAACTTGTTCGGCGCTCTTCCTCAGTGAGTAATTGGAAGAGCGTACGAGAATTTCCAGATCCTCTAATTTAATATTATCTTCCAGATGGGACAGTGGCTTACGCGTACATTTTTCCCTGATAAATTTTCGTAATTCAGCGATACAGAAAGCCGTCCCTAAGCCTGAAAGTAGGCCAGCTGCCAGCCAAAGAGCTCTCCTGTTGTCAAAGGCCATTGCCAAAAGTACTAAAGCGAGATCAAAGCTCCTAATAATTTAGTTGTCGGCAAAGTTGAAAAAGCTTTGACAGTTGCCGCCATATTTCGAAAACAGTACATCATTAACCTCGGTTCCGTCTTTGGCTAAGGAGCTTTTAAAAGTTCTTCATGTATACGTCAAGATTGAAATAAGTCAAGCCAACTGTATCTATGATTAGACATAAATTGGAAAATTTACATCTGAAATACTAAAATTATAAAGCTATGCGTTTAGTTATGAAATACTATTGGTTTTGGTTAAAAGAAAAGGTAACATGTTATTTTAGAGACAGATTATGCCGCGTATCTCAACAGTTGCTTCGGCATAAGGATCCGCTGACCTTAAATCGACTTGTCAACGTTTCGTTGTCGATTTCGTTACAATAATTTGGTACTCAAGTCCAGCACCGTTCGAAAATGGTAAATATTCATTTACAAATCCTTAATCTAACTTGACAGTTATTTTCATATGGTTCTGCTTTACATCTATAGGGAGAAAGAAAAGCTGTTAATAAGTATTACCCTCCAGATTGGACTCCACAACAGGTAAATACTAAACTTTCCTCTTCTGCTTTACATTATGACTGTATCCAACAAAATTGTATGTACAGTGTATCTTAAACTGTTCGATCTCCGTCTCTTTATCAGGGCTCCCTTGACAGATACCATGGACAACACCCGTTACGTGAACGAGCTCGAAAGCTTGGCCAAGGAATTCTCATTATTAGGTAAATACTAACCAGAAAATTAACAATTATTATTATTATTTTTTAATGCAAATCGCAAATACCTCTCTTTTTACGATGGATCCTGTTAGCACTGTCTCTTCCATAAATTTTCAATGTATTATGATTGTATAGTGGTATGGCCAAAGTATAGCTGCCTTAGTTTAACAATACCGTGTTCTAAGCTATCTTCAATTTAGCAAAACCTTTATCTGAACATTTATGTTTCTGATCAGTGTCAAGAGTGGCAAAGGCGAACAGTGGAAGGAGATTTTTTTTAATTAGCTCAACCCTCTTACAAAGAATCACTGAGACCTACTGCTTGCGTAAAACCATGGTTTGGTTTAGACCTGGTGTAAATATTTCTCCTTACAATATCACTGCTGAATCACACATTAATGTCATGAGAATAAAGGAAATGATCACCAACTAAAGAAACTCTTGATTGGTATACAAATTCTCCTTGTCAGCACCTTAGTAAATATACAAAGAACAGTATGAAGAAGATGAATACTGATGTTAGGGTGTAAAGGTTTCATACAGCATCTACTTCTCCCTTTGTCTCACAAGGAAAACAGAGGCAATTTGAAAGAGAATCTGGCAGTGTGTCACAAATGCAACAAGACCCCTTTTTTTTTATTATTTAAAGTACCCCTTAAATTTAAAGCATCACATTTCTATCCTCGCAGTATACTGAAAGGGTGTTATCATTGACCTAATAAAACTAGCAGCCTAGCCTGCTGTTAGTCTCCTACAGCTCTATGGTAAAAAATTGTGAGTCCTCATGAGGAATTGAACCTCAGACCTTCGGATTCTGCACTCTGATGCTCGGACACTGAGCCATAGAGACTCTACGGTGTGCAAAGCCCATTCTGAAGGTTGTATATGGCACATGTCCTGCATACTGCTAGGATCAGTGATGTTGATAGCATCATGTTTGTAAATAGAATAAGGAAGATGGTAAGTTTTTGAGCTCAGTAAAGAAATAGAGAAAGATGTTTTTCGTGTGACAAAGAAAAAGTCTGAGTTTCCTTGAAGAATCCAACCTCAGCACAACCCCTGAAACTCCCTTCCAGGGAGGGGAGTAGTGACTCTGATTCAAGAGGATGTTAAGTGATGAAGCCTAGCCTGCTGTTAGTCTCCTACAGCTCTATGGTAAAGCATCTGAAGTATTAACCCTTTACACCCTAACATCAGAATGCGTATTCTCAATATTGTTCTCTATACATTTCCAAAGAGGCTGACAAGGAGAATTTTTGTAACAATCAAGAGCTGCTGTAGCTGGTGATCACCTCTTCTATTCTCATGACTTTCCTGTTTGTTTTAGGGATGATACTGTAAGGAGAAATTAGATGCTAATCACTCTTAGGGGCTAAAGGGATAATGGAAAGATCATGTAGGTTCTACTCCCATTGGGAGAACTCAGAGTTTTATTTATTTATTTATTTTTTTTTTTTTTCAGAGTATACCTGTGTCACTCACTGCTCTTAAATTCTCAAATTTGTTAAAAATCTGTTCCTTGCTCTCCTAGATTTGAGATGCCCTACAACATATGGTGTGGAGGATGTGGAAATCATATTGGAATGGGTACAGTATGCATAAATTATAATAGTTATTAGAAAGCATTTTCAAAATTAGTATTACACACACACAGTTTTCAAGAACTATACTTAAACTTTAGCACACAGCATCAAGCCTGAGAACCATCAACTAATTGTTGTTGCTACAGTACAATTTTCTCACACCTGATTGAACTTTTTCCGTGTAACACAATATGCCGCCAACAATTATTCATGAAAGTGGAGGAGAATAATTGTTTTTGTATATAGCTCATCGATACCAAAAAATATAGCGTACTGGTATATTTCCAATAAACTGAAAAATGGTCAGAAATTAAACTCTTGATAGGTGGTTTTGTCTCAGTGGCTACTCAGAATTGAATGGTTTGCGCTGTTCATTTCTGAACCAGCCAATTAGTGCAGGTGAAAAGCACTCTCCACTTTTGTGGTACAATGACGCTATCCAGATTATGCAGCTTCGAAGAATGATGGAACTCTCAATGTACATGCCATGTTCTTCTTTAAGACAAACTGACTTACTTCAACACTTAAGGCCAATGTAAAAACATTTTTTTTCATTAATTTTAATTGTTAATCCACATGTATAGAGGTATTCATGACAGACAGTGAAGATGTAAACCATATTTTTTTCAAAATGATTTGTAAATGTTTTGTTTTGCAATTAAATGTGGCTTTCTTAATCTAATCAGTTTTTGTTCCTTATTGATAATCATATTCTTAGTTATCTATACCCTCGATAATTGAGGTTTGACTGTATATATACTAGTGTTTGATAAATATTTCTTGTGTTCAGAGTTTTTTGAGGTCCAAATATTAATTTTTTTTCTACAAGCTTGAAAAGGGTAGTAAAGAGTAATCAAAATTTATTTTGACAGTTATCTATTTCAGTGTGGCTTAGCCTTTTAATTGGCTCTCCTGTAGGTGTGAGGTACAATGCAGAAAAGAAAAAAGTTGGTAACTACTACACAACACCCATCTACAGATTTCGCATGAAATGTCACCTTTGTGATAATCACTTTGAAATAGAAACTGATCCAAAGGTAAGAAAAAAAATGATACAGTCCCTGTTTACCTTTAACCCTTTAACTCCCAAGATCTGATTGTTAATTCTCCCCTCTAGCTGCTACACATTTCCTTGTCAAGTTGATTACAAGAGTTTGGTGTTCAATCAAGGCAATAAATTGTACCTGATGAGTTTGAGTATTCTCGTTACCTGTTTTCTGTGTAATGTATCCCATGGGTACTATTGGGAGATGTTACATAGTAATTACTTCTGGGAGTTAAAGAGTTAAGGTGGTAGAAACCACAAACTGTTTGGACATCCAGGGGCTGGTTATTTTAACAAAGTATAGCTGCATTAGTTTAACAATAGCATGTTCTAAGCTTCTAGTCTTCAATTTAGCAAAAGCTTTATCTGAACATTTATGTTTGATCACAGTGTCAAGAGAGGCAACAGCTAACAGTGGAAGAACATTTATTTAATTAAATCAACCCTTTTATTAAGAATCACTGTGGCCTGCTGCTTGCATAAAACCATGGTATGGTTTAAACCTAATGTTCTGGAATATCAGGCCCTAAGTCTGTATAGTGTATTTATTTTATGCAATGGAAAAACTTTAAATATGCGATGTGTTTGCTACCTTTTTCCCAGGTTAGGTGCATGTATTATTGATTATGCCTACCACAATTGAAGCATAATTGCAGCACATACTGATAATGGCATGTTTAAGTCATAGAAGATTTATTAGGGAAGGATGGTTCTCATGATACAACATTATCATGCTGTTTTGAAATAATTAATTTATATTTTCTTTACTTTTATGTTCTTATACTCAACCATTATTTCAAAAAAAAGTTAATCCAACTGAAAAAAATCATTTCAAACTTTGTATGATGCACTTTACTAGTACAACTTACAATGTAGTTAAGTTTTGAATAATTTGTTATATGTTTCATCCATTTGATTATTTTTATGTCTCAATAAGAACTGTGATTATGTTATTGTGAGTGGAGCCAGAAGGAAAGAAGAAAGATGGGAACCATCAGCTACAGAAACTGTTGAACTAACAGGTAATCAAAACTAGAAATAACAAATTTTAACCTTTTTACTCCCTAGATCAAATTGTTAATTCTCTCCTATAGCTGTTACATATTTCCTTGTAAGTAGCTATCAAGAATTTGGTATTGGATCAAGATAAAAACTTCTACCTGATAAGTTTGAGTATACTCTTTACCTGTCTTCTGGATTCTGTATGGATATTGTAGGGAGAAGTTACATGTGAATCACTCCTGGGATTAGAGACATTTTGCATGTAATACAGCCTGAATGTAATATAGGTAATATTAACCTCACACCAAAAAGGCTTGCTGGCCCAGGGTGTGAAATTGCGCCTAATACAGGCACCAGTGTGACTAAATTTTTTTTACTTTGGCAACCAAATCCTGAAAATTAGTCGCCAAATTGGCAACTAGAATGTT